AAGAAGCTTTAAGAAATATGCCGTCCATCCGACTCGAGCTTTAAGCTGTCGATAGCACGAGACTATAATAAATCCTTGCAAGCAATCAAGCAAAAGAGCGTCTTTTTAACGGTATAGATCAAAGAACACCGAGCTATTTATAAGTTAGCGAAGATAAACAACTTTTACGAGACGACGAGTACACTCGCGATAAAAGCATTCTTAAAAGCTATTAGCGAAAAATGGTTATTAACTTAAGCGTCGTTAAAGCTCGCAAAGGTCATTCGAAACGACGAGCTATCATTGCTTTAAAAGCGTATCTTTTACGACTACTTTAATTAGTACGAAAGCTAAATCGAAAAGAAGATTAGCAATCCGAACTCTAACCTCTTTAATATATTCGCTACTTTCGGAGATCAAACGACTCGTAGCATTTCCGAAGGTAACAAGGCTAACGATATTGCTCTTAAGCAGTCCGGTAAACGCTCCGATAGCTTTAAAGGACTTGCTAAAGGTTTTAAGTGCTCGTGCTTTAAAAGGAGAAACTATTATTAAAACGCAATCAAGTATAAGATCTTTCGCTATTGCTTTAACGGTCTTGACGAAAGTGGATTCGCAAAGCCGAACCGAGATAATATCGTCGCTATAAAGAAAAGGCTTTAAAAGCTTAAGTTCAAAGCGCTCCGAAAGGAAATCACGAAAGAAGGTTAAGCATAAATTCAAGTCGATAAGATCGTCTTAAAGAGCAAAGAAAAGCAATCGAACGATAGCGATAAGTCAAAATACTTTAGAAAAGTGTTAGTAGCTATTATCGATCTTAAGCTCTTTAGCACGCTTAATAATCTTGTCCTTGACGGTCTTTATAGCACGGCTGACAATAAGCATTAGCTATTTAATAGCACTCTTCTCGACAATTGCGGCGCTACTTACTTTGTTAACGATAAGAATCTTTTAGTGCTAAAGTTAATTCAGCGCTTTCGACCAACCGACTTTATCGAAGCTAAAACGAATAGTCTCTTAATCGTCGAGCGAAGGACTAAAGTCTTTAAAAAAGCTTTAAACGGACCAAATGGAACTAAAACGGAAGATTTGAAGTTAGAAAACGTCGCTATCGTTAAAAGGTTTAATATTAATATCATTTCGAAAGCTCTTTTAAGTAAAGCTAGCGTGTAGTACTCGGGATATGACGCAACTCTCCGCTACGGAAAAGTTAAAGAGAGCGTCGTATTAAAAAAGTTGGAAAGGAAGTTTAACTTTACGTTTTTTAAATATAAGCTATTCAATTATTCTTTACCTTAATTGATTCGTAGCTTTCTTTGCTTAATGATGTTCTTTATAACTTAAAGGCGCTTGCAAATACGTTATAAATTCTAAAAGAGCAATGTCTTCCGAGCTTTAAAGGAAGATTCATCGATACTTTAGCATTTGCGGACAGATCATTTAAGCAAAAAAGCTTTCGAAGCGCTAGCTTACAACGCTAAAAGGGTAAGACTCAAAAGAATCACTAAGGTTAAATGTAAAGCATATGCTATTACGCACGCTTAATAAGTTATATTTCGCCGCACGTTAAACAACAAAGCAGCTAAGCTATTTTATAAGATCGCCTAAGATCTATTCGACTTTTTTAACGGTTTCGAAAAAAGCAAATAGTTGTTAATAATTAAAGATAAATACAATAAGAAGCTATTCGGCTTTATATTAAAGGACAAGTTACAATTGACGGTTATAAAAGTGCTAAAGGAATTTAAAGCATAGACGAGACGCAAATACGGTCTTTTAATAGCTGTTATGCGTTATAATAACGATTCCTCGGTAATCGCAATCAACGTAATCGGCTCTATCGAATATCAAAGATAAGCGAAAGAGGTTAGGATCGAGTTAAAGCTTTTATTATCTTTTAATCACGAACTTAATAAAAGAGCTGAAAAGGCTAGGAAAAAAGTGATAAAACGGTTTATTAAAATAAGAATAAAAGCAGGGCTCCTAAAGAAGCTCTGGCCTAAGACTATAATAGCCGCTATCTACTTTTACAACATAACACCGAGAGCGAAGAGCTCTATGAAGAGTCCGAATGAAGTGCTATAGCTTTAGTTTAAGCAATATTTTAAGTAGTACGATCCGGCGATCTTTATACGAATCGATATCGACTTAAGACTAGATTATAGCGGTTTAGTTGCGTATAGCGCTCGTGCGTACTTAATAATCAAGGACCGAGAAGCTCTTCGCAATAAAAGAGCTTTTAAAGTCAAACCGAAAGGACATATAAGCTACTTGGTTAGATATATAGCTTTTAATATATACAAGGTTTATGTTTTTATGCTTTATAAAATGATTGTTATACGCAACGTAACGTTCGATAAGACTCAATTTTATTTTAAAGACGAAGAAAAATCGGTCGGCTAATCGATTAGCGAGATCAAAAGCATCGTTATTAAATTAAAAGATATTAAGAACTTTAATTAAACAAAAGACGCTTTATCTAACATAAAGAACGTTATAAAAGATCGCTTAAAAGAGACGAATGCAGCTGATATAAAAGGTAAGCAGCCGTCAGACCTTATAGAAGTTGACTTAAAAGGATCTAATCAAAGCTTAAAAGATGCGACTTTATCTAATCCGAGCGATGCACAAACGTTAAAAGCTTTAACTTTAATTAGAGACCTTATAGATACGTCTATACTAAAAGCAACTGCTTTACGAGACGATCCAATAGACTTTGACGATTCGAACCACACCGTTAACCGTCTCGCTAGCTCTTTAGCTAAGAGCAAAGGCGAAGGTGCTTTAAGACTGCCAGAAGCAAAGAAGAGCACCGTAGACGGGCAAAAACCTGGCCTTAATAAAGGAGCGCGCAAATCATACCTTTAAGTTGTTATTTAAAGCCGAGGCCCGGAAGGCTAAGCTATAAGCCGACTAACGGGAGCTTTTACGTTAATAACCGGCAAAGATTTAAACCGAACAATCAAAGAGGAGCCTTTAGACCCTTTTAAAGCGAGCATTGATAATAAGAAATTAGACTATAAATACTCTAAACAAAATTCCGATTCTAATAAAGAGCACTCACTTATTAATAGCCGCATTAAAAAACGCGCGAAGATATACGCAAGTGTTAGTAAGCTTCTCTTAAATAACTCTTTCGTCGATTCGAACCGCTATTCGCGCGTCTTAGATTTTGTGTCGACTTTTTAAGCTAATAGCGATCTTATGCGCGAAGATAGTAAAGATTACGAGACATTGCACGCTGTTATAACAACTGCTACCTCGTTTAGGCTATCATTAGAACAGCTTAACTCGTAAGAACGAAAACATCTAAAACCTTTTACTTATTAAAAAGAGCTATAACGATACTTATACGGCAAAGAGTTCAAGGACAAAGCTCTTATAGAGCTTAATAATTTAAAGAAAAGGAACTGCTAGAAAATGATTCTCGAGAGCGAAGCTAAGTCAAAACCTATACCTTTTAAGTAAGTGTTTATATACAAGACTGGCTCGTCCGAAAAGATCGTAAGGTTTAGATCGAAGATTATAGTTAAAAGCGACCTTTAAAACGAATCTATTATCTATTTAACTTACGCTGCTACGCTAACAGCTAGATCGTTTAAAATAATAATAGTTATAATAGCCGAATTTGATTTAAAAGTAAAACAATTCGACGTCGTCAACGCTTTTATTAACGTTATAAAACATACGGATAGCGTCTTAATTATGTATTATCTCCTTGACGGTTTTAAGCAAAAAGGTATGCTCGTAAAGGTCGATAAAGCTTTATATAAACTTAGAGACTCGCTAGCTTTATAATATTTCGACTTTATAAACACACTCGATAAATTAAAGCTTACTTTATTCGATAAGGAATCGTGTATTTTTACGAATCTAGACAAGACGGTTTTTATAGCGTTTTACGTAAACGATATTCAAATTATATATTATCATTTTAATCTTTTTAAAGCGCAAGAGATCATTGACGGTCTTAATAAAGCGTACGAAATCGAAGCGATAAGAGATATTGAATGATTTCTTAGTATAAGAGTCGCTCGAAACCGTTAGCGAAGAACGCTAACGCTTATGCACGACGCTTATATTGAAAAAATGGCTAAGAAATTCGAACTTACGGACGGACGCTGCTTAGCAACTTTATTACCGTTTTATAACTTAATTAAAAATGAAAAGATAGCTTCGCGGAAGCAGATAAAAGAGTACTAAAAGAAAGTTAGATCCGTATTATATATAGCGATCATGCTACGCCCAGATATAGCTTTTGCAGCCTTTTAACTTTTTCACTTTAGCACTAATCTAAGCGCGAAGCACCTTCGAGCTGTAAACTAGTGTTTGCGATATTTATTTAGCTCGCGCTTTAAAGGTATTTAATACAGCTAGTTCAGCAAATCAAAGCTAGTAATAGCCTTTGACGCTTTTTACGCCGATAACGAAGAAACAAAGCGATCTTCTTAAAAGTACATTGTGTTTTTGTTCGGAGGTACGATCTTTTAAAAAGCTTTAAAGCAAGATATAATCATTATATTATCTATTGAAGCGGAGCTTCTTAGCATGGCCCTTATAATGAAAGAGACTATAGCGCTTTAACGGTTTTTTAAGAAGCTGCACCTTCGTTTTGCGGCGCTTTGAATAGTCTATTATAATAATTAATAAACAATAAAGCTTATAGCTGGTAAGAAAGAGCGTATCTTTACTAAGCTTCGCTACGTCGATATTCATAATATATGGCTGCGCTAAGAGCACTTCAAAAGGAGCTTTTAAGTTTAATATCTTTTTATTAAAGAGATGTACGCTAACGGTCTTATTAAGAACCTGACTCGACAGAAGTTTAAGAGCTTTATTAAGCTCTTGAATTTATAAAACGCTCGCGCGTTAGTCGAGAAGCTTTAATAGCACGCATATGCTATTCATTCATTTCATTTCATTTTTTTTTTTTCATTTGCACGTAATTTAAAAGAAAACATCTATTTAGCAATCATAGCCGTTATTCTATCTTATCTTATACGCTTTTACCTTTCGTCCTTTTATAATAAAAGATCGACTAAAGCTCTTAGCAATCTTTTTACTTTAGCTCGGCGCTCCGCAAGAGTCATAGCAACGGCGGGCGCCGCCGCGGGAGCGGCAAGCGCAACGACTAGCGCAAAGAGAGCGACGACAATAAGTGCGACGAAGGCGACGAGAGCAGCGAAGGCGACGGGAGCAACAAGGGCGGCAAGCGCAAGAGCTGCTATAGCAGCAGATTAGAGCTTTTGCATAAAGTCCGAGAAGAAGTTCTAGTTAAAAGAAACTGCTTAGATTAGATTATTTCGAAAGTTAAAGAGCTTGACTTACGAAAGGATGATATGCTCGAGGCGCTCCGCGTCACCGGACTACGGTTTGCTACTACAAGACTATTCAATTTAATAAAAGCTACATTCAAATTAAAAGTCTTAAGAGCAAGAGCAAAACTTGCAAGGCCACCGGGACTACTTTTAAAACCTTTACTTTTATTCGCTAGACCGCTCGGACTACTAGCAGCACTTTTTAAAAAGGCAGCATTTAAAGCGAGCTATTATCGTACAGCATTTCGGAGACTTCGGCGAACTTTTTATATAATACCATTATCCTTAGCGCTTACGAAGTTATCGAAAGCGGTATTAGCAGCGGCAAAAGCAGCGGTACAGTTGCTATAGCTACTTTTAACATACCGGAAATAGCGTATAACGCTCGTGTCGCAATTATAACAGTCTTTATTAGACCTCGATATGATCTTATTATTAATGCATTTAATGCACTTTAAGGCCTTAACGGTCGTTAGCATAAGCAAGCGCTTAGTAAAAGGGTCTAAAGGAAGAAGCGAAGCTTCGAGGATAAGAGTGCGTAGTATAGCCGCCGCAGCCGCCGCAATTATAACAGCAGCAATAGCTAAAGCAGAGAAAGGATTCTTTTAATAGTTAATATAAATATATTAATCTATTAAGAGCACTTACTTTTAAACGGCCTCGGCCGCGCTTAACGATTTTATTAGATTAAGTTACTTGCTTAAAGAGCATTATGTAAATAGATAAAGGTTAAGTGTTTATTATAATAGAAAAGAACGCGCTTTTACTTATATAGCAACGCGATAAGGACGGCGCTAAAGACTTCTGCTACGTAATAAGATCGACTTAAAAAGGAATTGCATTCTTGATTAACACTTAATTAATAATGATAACCGTTATTTGTTTGTTTAGATTGCGATGATAATCTCTTTTGTTTATATCGAGTTTAAAAAGCTTAATCATTTATTTTTTTTTCTTTTCTGTTTGCTTGCAGCTTAGTAGCTACGCTGCTGACTTAAAGGGTGTATTGTGCAGAACAAGCATAGTTCTACCTAAGCTACATATGACATGTTATATAACCTCGCTTAATAGCGCCTTTAACACATTAGAGCTCTTAAGTACATGTATATAGATCTTGACGAGCTTCTTAAATAGAATATACCAAGCTTTATTCAATCCACAGAATCTCTTCCTGATCTTAGTGCTAGTAAGCACTACATATTCTTATAACGGAAAAAGATCGAGATAGTTTAGCGATTGCCGATTAAGCGATAGCTTTTAAGTTTTTTAAAATCTTCGAAAGCCTCGCGGAATTTGCTTATAAAATAGACTTAAAAAAGGCCGTTTGCTCGCTGCTATAAAAAGAAGTCGAAAGAAAAGAAAAAATAGCTGCTTCGGTAATTGCGTATAAATAAATACGTATAAATGTAAAAAAACTTTTAAAGAACTCTTACGCATAATATCGAGATTCGAAGTTAAGTTAATCGTTTATAATTTAATCCGAAGCGAAAGCGTATTGCTATTAGACTCGTCGTTTAATAGCAATCGCGCGGTCGATATCGTCGAAATAGCTCTCGATAGCTTTCGTCGTTGTATTAATAATCAATGCTTTTCGTTTTAATACGAAAAGAAAAGGCTACAAATTAATAGCAGCGTTCTCTCTTCTCTTTTTAAAGTGCTAAGTAAGATTAAATAGCGATATAGCGTTTTAAAGCCGTATATTGTGGAAGGGAAGAGCTCCGACATATACCCAACGTCAAATCAAGAGATATATATGAATATAGCTATGGTAGAATCGTAAGTGAATAAAAGAGGAGAAAGAGGACGATCGAAAGACACTCGAATGTGTGCTATGAGTACGTGTATTGTATTGTGTAGTGATAAGGTGGTGCTGGTTCAAGGAGGAACCAACTACTCGTCTATATAAGAGCCTGCACGTGACCTAACCACGTGCCTAACAGGGCCAAAGCATGCAGCGCACCCACGTAACAAAAGTGCCTAGCATCAGTACTATATACATAGACAAAACAAATACAAAGCCCTAACTCCACTACATACGTCCCTTCTTCGAATCAGACTCGCCCTCGAGTCACCTCCTATCAAGGTGATAAAGTTGGGTTTGCAAGACGAGCATATAGCCGAATTGCACGGTCGCAATATAGTCCCAAAGTACTACTCAATAATGCATCGCCGGATCGGTGTTAATACGAGGCGTATATGATATAACAAAGAAGATAAGAATAGCAACGAAAATGCAAGATAATCCCCCAGGTCTAACTCCCCCTCATATCCTTTATAGCTCACCTATTCAACTACAAGAACAATATCAACCCGAGCGTTAGTATTATCGTCAAGATAAGCGTGCGCCGGTTTAAGCGGTCAAGTAGTGACGCACTACCGAATCGATAATAGCGCGAAGCTTAAAGCGATAACGTAACAAAGAAAACAAAGGCGGCAGTATATACTCGAGGTCTTACTATAAACAATACCCTTTTCTTATATCAACTTTACACCCTTTTATCTTCCCTTCAGCATCACCACCTACTAACCTCATCTTCTACCATCATGTTATCGATCTGCTTTCGGTGCGTAAGCTACGCAAGCAGAACCATCGATAATACTACGAGTCGGTGCATTTTCTCCGCCGATAAATCTATTAAATGCGAGCGTTGCCGTGCTATCAAATCAACTTGCATCTTCGTAAGTTATCTTACCTTCCGTCTCATACTCGTTCTGACTCCGATTCGATAGCTCCCCGCAAAAGTCGTTAATGCCGGCATAGTCTTAATAGATGCGATAACGGCCATAAACAATAAAACTAAGACGGCCGACGACGTTTTTCGTAAGGGCACAGTTGCAAATAACCTTTTAATAAAGACCCGCCGTGCTCTTGCCTCTCGTGTTAATGATGCTTCTTCCCTTCTTCGAGCCCGTATCGCCGCTACTTTCTTTGCCGCCGCCAATGCTAAAAGTCCCTTAACTGGCTTAAGTCCCGTCCCGGCGTTACGCCTACTTGCCGCCGCTGCCACCGCCGATCCAGCTTCGCTAGACCTATTGCGTCAGATCCTAGCTACAATAGATCGAAACAATACTTTGTTAAATAACTTTCTTAGCCGCGTAAGTGTATGTTGCGAACCCTTTATGATTCCTTTCCGATCTGACTACGATAGATTGCCGAAAAGTCTTCGTCCCTTTCATCTTTATCTTCGGAATCGCCAGCACTTCTTACCGCGAAAAAGCTCCGCCGAAGTGCCCGCCAAGCTTTTAATCGCAGCAATACCGGTGATTCCTCTTCGCGAGGTTCCAGCCGTAGCAATACCCGTGGTTCTACGAAAGGTTCGAGTCGTAGCAACATCAGTAAGACCTCGAAAAGTAAGAGCAGTGCCCAAGGTGCTGCGAAGGGCTCTCGCACCATTCCACCTAGCCTTAAGTTGTAAGGTCGGAAGGGTTTTTATCGCGGGTCGGCAGCTTGCTAAGTAATTAATACAATAGATTTTTCGTATGCTCTTTTTAATCAGCCTCCGAATAAGGTCCGCTTTATATATGTGACATGCTCGTATATAATAAGTCGAAAGCATATAAGTATGATAACGTAAAGCTCTTCAATACAAAAAAAAAATAAAAAGAGTGTAAAAAGAAAGAAAACAAAGAAAACCAAACTCAAACAAAGAAAAAATCAAAAAATCAAATCCAAACTCGTCCCTTCCTCACGTATAGTCATGCCCTCATAACTTAATCACTCTTTGTTGCCTCTTTATCACTGCTCACAAAGACTCTTGCGTATTAGCTCCGTTGCTCTTCCGTAAGGCCAAGTAATCGAATGACAAATCCATCTAAGCGCTTGATCTAAAAGCCGGACTCGGCCACTTCATCTAATAAAAGCTATTCTAAAGATCTCTTTATCTAAGGCCTAAAGCGAAATAGTAACGCTTCGAAAGTATATCGCACGTAAAACTTCTTTAATCGATTACTAGCAAATGTTCCATCTAGCAAAGCCCCGTCCTCTCCTAGCTCTTTCAACTTATAGTATCCTTTTGTATTTACCGACGAAATTTAATAAAAGCCAAGCCACCGAAAATCCAGTTTCTTAACGTTAGACATATCTACTTCACGTACCGAGTCGTGCTTAAAGACCAAGTCACCTACTTTTAAAGGTCTGATTCGGAAGTTCTTTTTACTATCAAAAGCATCTTTTCTCTTTTAGCGGCAGCGGGTTTTCTTAAGTATAGCCTCCGTAGCATCCTCGTCTCGCATCCGGAACTAGCGTGCTTTTAACTCGATAAGCTTAGCACGATTAATTACTAGCTCTTAAAATAACGTAGCTTAAGACTAGATTCGAGTCTTAATCGAAAGCATTGCTTCTTTGCCGTACACCATATAAAAAGAGGTGAATCCGGTAAGAGTATGCACCGAAGTGCGGTCGGCGAATAAAACGGCTAGCAATTGCGCAATCCAGTCGGTGCTTTCAAGCTTACTTAATGCGTCCTTAATTAGTCCGTAGCCGCGTTCCACTATTCCATTCGCTTGAAAGTAGTATACTAAGACCACGACTCGATTGATTCCCCAATTGTTAAGTAAGTCGATTACCTCTTTCTTAAACTCCGAACTTCCATCGACTATCAGCTAAAAGAAAATCTTATAGCGGCAAATAATATCTTCTTAGATAAACTTAGCTACCGAGAGCGAGTCTCGAGTCCGAATCGCCTTCGCCTCGACCCATCTACTCATATCATCTTTAGCAACAATTAAATAGCTTTTGCTATTGCGTGCAAATAGATAAGTGATATCGATAGCCTAGCGTTTTATTAAGCTATTAGATCGGATAAGATGCAGTAGTTCCTCGAGCCTATTGGCTGCTCGGTGCTAGCATTCTTTACAAGTCTTAACGAATCGTTTAACGTCCGTGTAACATCTATTCTAGAAGTAGCGCTAAGATACACGGTGATAAGTTAATTCACGGCCCTTATAATTACTCTTATCGTGACAAGCCGTAATAATGTCCGTCTTAATCGAAGGTTTATCGACCATTAATCGGAAAAGAAGACTTTTCGTCGAAAGTCTTTAGAGTTTCTTATCGTTCACCTCGTATTTAATAGCCTTTCTTTTAAACTTACGGCATTCTACCTTGTTTAAGTCCTTAAGTCTTCGCAAAGTCGTCAAGAAAGTAGCTATCCGAATTGATTCCGAAGAGTATTCGATTAAGTTCAAAAGACTTTCGTAATCGTAGTTGTCGTTAGACTCGTTTAAGTTTGCATTCTCCGCTTCTTTCGAGCGTTAAAACATGTCCTTAAGAATAAATTAACGAATATCTATTAAAAGGTCCGTCGAAAGTTCTTCGAAGCCGTCTCGAGCCTTAATAAGTCTTAAGTCGACTAGCAAGCTATCATCGAACTTATTCTCATCCTTTTCGCTTAAATCATCGAAGTGCCGTAGCCGTCTCGATAATGCATCAGCAACGATATAATCCTTATCGAAGATATATCGGACCTTAAAGTCGAAAAGATTAATCTAAGCTAGCCAGCGTGTAATCAAAGCTAAAAGTATATCGATAGCTCTTCGTCGAAGCTAAGCAACGAGCACTTTAGCGTCAGTCTCGAAGATAAAATGCACTCCGATAATCTATAGCTTAAGTTTCTTAAAGACCTTAAGTACTCCGCGGCACTTTCGTTTAATAGCGTCGTAGTTCCGTTCTGCTTCCGTCTAAGCCCCGGACTCGTATCGAGCCGGTTACACCTTGCCAAAAGTAGTCTCGCGTTAGCCGATATATCTTCCCTATCCTTTTAAGCTAGCGTTCGTTCCTACTACTATTTCTTTGTTCTAGTCCTCGTAATCGATCTTGATCAAAACCGAAGCCGTCGTCAAAGCATCTTATAGCATTCGCATAGCTTTCGAATGCGCTTCGATCTATTGCTAATCTACATCCTTTTTTATAAAGTTGTAAAGAAGGTCAGCAATATATGCGAATCCTTTAACCTAGATGCGAAAGTAAGAGCAAAGGCTTAAAAATCCCTTAACCTTAATAACGTTTTCGAAAGTTTTCTAGTTATTAATTTTAATAACTTTATCCGCAGCGAGTTCTCGACCCTTCGAATTGCATACGAATCTTACCATATTCATATCATCTTAACAAAACTGTGATTTTTCTTCGATTATAGCATTAGCGCGCTCAATCCGTTCTAAGGTTTTATCGATGTTCTAAATGTGTTCGAGCACGAATCGGCGTATACCCGAAAGTGCTTCTTTATCGGAATAATCCGTTTGTGGTCTTTTTACCTTAATATCGTCGACAAATAGCATAAAGACCTTAAGTTGTAAAAGACTTAAAATGAAATTAACTGTTCGAACGAATTAAGCCACCGAGTTTATAACACTTTACGAAAAGGTAATGCATCGGAAAAGACCTAGCGGTGTAAAGAAAGCGGTAAGGTCCTTACTCGACTAATAAAGTGTTTATTAATTATAGCCCGAATAAAGGTCGACTAAGCTAGCCATCTAGCAACCAGAAAACTCTTTAGCAAACTCATCTACAGTTAAAAGTAAATTAACGTCCCTTCGTGTAACTGCATTAAGTAAAGTTGCTAAGTTAATAAGTCGGTACTAGCCCGGCTGCTTTTTGGCTACTAAAAACCACTGATTCCGGTACGGTCCTTCGCAATACTCTAAAACTCCTCTATCAAGCCTGTCTTAAAGCATTTTGATAACAATAAGCTATAAGGCCTTCGGACACGAGTAATTCGGAGCCTGCCAAGCCGTATATAAGATAGTTTTGAACTTAATCGGTGGTGATACGTCGTTATAAAACTTACCGCACTCTTGCCAAGCGAATGCGATCGATTTTTCTCTATTCAGCATCATCTCTTTAAACAAATTCCTTTCTTTAAGCCGTAGTGTATTACCGATATCCAGGTTCGCTATGCGTTCGAGTGTGATTCAAGAGCCTCTCGATATATCGGCAATACGCGGAAAAAGGTATTGCTTGTATTCTCTTACCTGCTCTTATAGCGTATCCCTAGCCTTCGATAGCTCGTACCAATCAACCTTGCCACTTAATGCTGCTCCTACGCCGTTTGCTTCGTTAACTAGCCTAATCTTTTTTTCTTTAGTCTTATATATACCGAATACCTTAGCCGAGTCCGAAAAGATCTCTTTTCAAGTCCGATAAAGTGTCGAATTCCAATAGTCAATATGATCGTAGCAGCGGGTCATAAGGTTATCGGTGCTAACAGCATCTATTTAACAAATTATTGAAAAATCGCATTCCGTAAAAGCAAGAACATCGATAAACTACTCTTAAATAATAAAGTCGTCTCTTTCCCGATGTTGCAACGTTTCGCCTTCGAAACTAAGCGAAAAGCAAAAAGCTTTTAGTGTACCGACTTCGGCGCTTCCAACGAAGCTAGTCACTAGTTTTCCGAGTCGCTGCCGCTGCTACTCGAAGACTTATCGTAGTAGATAAAGCTTATACTCTGCTCTTTTAAGCGATCGACGGCTTCGTCGTATTGATTCGTTTTATCGCTCACTTTAGCTTAAATAACTTGGCCCGTAAAAGGATTAGTAACTATTGCAATAACAAGACCACTCTTATAGTCCGAAGAGTATCGAAGACCGATTCTCGCTTTGCGCATAAAAAGGTAACCGAGTATAAGTCGAAACCTTAGCGAATCTATAACGTAGAATCGAGTACGGATCGTAACACCTTCGATATTAACAGATACATTATCAGCGTATCCGATAAAGCGCGATAGTGAACCGGTAATTGTTCGGAAGCTTATCTTTTAGTCGTAAGCTATAAGAACTTCGAATTTAACCGCGGCGTCATAAGTGATAACGCTGACCTCCGCACTTATATCGAGTGTAGCTCGCGCATTAATAATTAAAGACTGTTCGAGTATACTAATAATGACTTTAAAAGTTAGCGAATAATAATAAGAGTATCTAAAGAATAGCTAGCCAAACGTCAAAGCAAAGCCGATTTTCGCCGAAAGAGGTTCCGAATTACCTTCGATTATAGTTCGCAAGGTACGCCGATCCTCACGAGTAAACCAGTCGAAAAAGAGATATTAGAACTAGAAAACACCGTAAAACACGGCTGTAAAAAAAGTCGGAATAAAGCCGATGATAAAAATAAAGCAGAAACGTCTTTAAATCGAAAGCGCTTCGAGTGCGAGAAGCGTATTGCGTCGGCGGTGCTTAATTTAACTGCTACGGATGTTCTTTTGCAATTAAAGCCTAGTTATCTAAGAGAATTCGAATAAGCGTTTAAGCCAAGACCGCTAAGCAATAGCATCTTTATATAAGATCCGTTTTAGTCGGGCAAAGACTTGTGTAAGGTCTGCTTTACCGGTAATTCGGCCGTGAGTCGAAGTAGCAAAAGAAAAAAAAAGTAGTAAATTCTTGCGATAAAGCGCTTCATCGATAAAGCGACCCGTAACTTTGCAAAATAAATCGCTACTAGATAAAAAAGTATTACTTTCTTTGTAAATAAGTCGCTAAGACTTCGAAGTAAGTCCGTTTTTCACCGGATCATCCGTCGCTTTCGATATAAGCTTGCTACTTATAATTAAGCAATCTTCCGAGGCTTCCGTAACGCTAACCGTAGCTTAAAGGCAGTTAATAGCGCTTTCGCTAATAAAGGTTTGCTAAATCATCTTATCGATTATACTTTCGGAAGAAGATCGTTTAGAAGTAGAAAAAGCAGCGAAGAACGCAATAGTCTCATTAAAGGTTAGGTTCCCAAGCAAATCGCGCCCTTTTAAGAGCTTAATACGAGTCGCTTCGTAGTCCATTCTTAAGGAAAAGATCACCTTGCCAAACCCTTCGTATGATTTAGCAGTCTTAGAAGGCTTGGCCTTAAGCTTAAGTACAGCCTTAAAAGCTTTTAGCAGTATAACGAGAAAATTCCGTAAGTCCTCCGGTCGTAAAGCGTTTCGGTTGAGAATCGCGGTGTAAGCGGGCTCGAGCTTATCCATTTCCATTGGTTCAGCGAAGGTAACCTTAAGCTGGCTATAAGTAGATTAGACCTTTGCTTTTACCGAAAGAGCGTCCTTTAGCGGGTATAGCGTAACTCGAAAGGCCGCGTTGCGCGTTCGAGTCTCTATCGGTGCAATAATAGCTTCCGTATTAAACACGTAAGCATATGAATTCGCCGTCGTAATGCATCGCTAGCGAATCATATCCGAAGTATTAAAGTCGTTAATACGAAAAGCTTCCGCATTGCCGCCGTTAGCTGCTCGAATAAGTGCTTTAGCGCGTTCCCGTGCAGCTTCTTTAATAGATTCTCGTTATGCTTTTAAAGCTTTATAACGACGCTTTAGATTAAGATCATTTATCGTTTTACGAACTCTTTTTAAAACTTGCTCGTACTTAAAAGTATCGTTTCGGAACTGAAACGAGATCGATAGTATCTCTTTTCGATATAGTCTTATATACATTAAGTCCGCTTCGTTAAAGTAAAAGGCTAATCCGTATTAAAGCATAAACAAGTAGCATTGATTCTGATATTTATAAGGCTTTTGTTAATAGCTAAGTAGATTAAAAGTCTATTAGCACTAATAAAAAATATAATTAGAATCGTTTAAGAACCGTTTCCTCCTCGATATAGCGTAGCTTCGGTTCGAATAAATATCGGCCGCATTAATTTCGTAGACCCGGTGCAAAGCAATTTCTTAAGTCTCTCCGTATTAAACAGCTTCTAATAAGTTCACATAAGCCTCTTTCGGTACGGAGGCGAAGCTGTCGGTAAGTCTTAAGTGAATACTAACCTTCGTTAGCTGTTTCGTAAGAGCTTCGATCCTTAAGTCAAGATCGATAAACGAAGTAATCGAACTCGCAGCGATAGTGCTTGCGCGATGAGAAGAAAAAGGATAAGTACTATCGGAGTAAGTATTATAAAAGAGCGAAACGTATAAGTTCCGCTTGCTTTCGAGAATGACAAACGATACTTAAGGACGAGAGTTTTCGTTTTAATAAAAGTCATAACGAGAAAAAGCTTTAAAGATCTCGGCGTAGCCGTATTCTTTAATCTGTTCCGCAATGATTTGTTCTTGCTTAATTAGATCGCTTACTATAATATATACTATATTATACGTTTGCAAATAATCTTCTCTAAGTTTAACGTTCTTTTGAGTCCGATTCTACATCGATAGTAGTAAGCAACCGAAGAACTTCTACTTCAGCTGCTTGTCGATAATATCCTTATTAATTAAGCAAGCAAGGCCCGTAAAGTTGAACTGTCGAGTGAACTATAAAAGCTCCGCTTTAAAAGCTCCTTCCTTTGCTATCCACTTATTGCTTAAGTCGTTTAAAAAGCCAATACTATCTTTCTACTTAGCTAAGTCGAAAGCTTTGTACTCTTTCTTGACCACCGATTTAAAGTCGTCCTAAGTCACTTTCGGATCCGAAAAGCCACCGAAGCTCTTAATATTGCAACGTATATTGTAACCGAAAGGGCCAGAAATATTGTATTTAGCAAAGCACTGCTTTTTCTCCGAATCGATAACGATACCGTAGTCTTTAAACGCTCGTTCGAGCTAGCGAATGTAATCCGTAATATTGGCCTTATCGAAAGCAAGCATTCTAAAGGCTCCAGGTCCAAAGAAAGGTCCACGGATACTCACGTAATTCGAAGCATTTACGAAAAGTGAGAAGGCCTAAATCCTCTTCACTTCGTCCTCGGTTATTTTGCGAGTAGCATCCCCGTTAAGTCCGAAATCCTTTTAAGTCGAAGAAATCATAGCTCCTTTTGATTTTCGAAAGTTCTAACGTAAGCTCGCCAGGTTAAGTTAATAAATATCGATTAAAGTGTGAAGGTGTCCCGAAACGGATGCGAAAAAGGAACGAGAATAATAGAATAATATAAATGTAAATGAATAATAGAAATGAAATAAGTACAATTTGTAATAAATATTAGATACACAAAGAAATGTTATAAAGATATAAGATCTTAATGCGTCGAGAGTGATTCATTAAAGAGTCGAGTGTCGATCGCGTCGAGCTAAATAATCGAAACCAAATCGATATAATAGACGATATTAGTAATACGTCTAATTTTATAACGCAAGATCCGTAATAAGCGGAAGAGTAATTGCCGAGATTAAGTGTATCGAAATAGAAACGAGGTCGAGTAATAGCCGAGCTTCCGTGCAAGCATATAGCCTGCCTCTAATATAATGCGACACCGAAACGGTTCCGAATCGCAAACACTTATTTCCGCTCGTCGTATCCTTCATTTGCCGAAGCGAAAGATGATCGAAAGCAATTCGAGGTCTTTATGCGTAATCTCCGTTGCGAAGTAAGTATTGAATTTTCAACCTCTTAAGCTTAGCGTAGTATTTCCGGTACCTAGCTATTGCCTACCTTTCTAAAGAAGAAAGAATAATAAACTCGTACTAGAATCGATATTAAATCGAAAAGGTAAAGTATACCAAACGAATAGTACTTCGAGCGTATCGCCGTGCAAAGTGGTCTAAGTGAATAGTACTCTATAGATACCGAATTGAACTCTAGCCAGCTCGATCCCCGAACTAAAGTAACGACTTCTTAAGTAGTACCTATCGAGTATATCGAATAGCATGCTCGACGAACACAAATCGAAGGAAGATCGCTTTTAAAGCAATAGCCTCGAAGCTTATATGCAAAAGCACCTGACTATTAGCCTAGCGTATATCGAATACCCTTCGAAAGAGTACCGCAAAAGCACATGGTCAATAGCTTAGCGTATGACGTAAACTCCGAATATATAGCTTCTCGCAAAAGAAGCAAGTCTAAAGGAGGTATAAAGACTAACCTTTGGTTCGATTCCTTGCGTAAGTCATTAAATATATATAGAAAAGAAAAGCTCCGACATATACCTAACGTCAAATCAAAAGATATATATAAATATAGTTATAATAGAATCGTAAGTGAATAAAAAAAGAGAAGAAGGACGATCGAAAGACACTCGAATGTGTGCTATAAGTACGTGTATTGTATTGTGTAGTGATAAGGTGGTACTGGTTCAAAGAGGAACCAACTACTCGTCTATATAAAAGCCTGCACGTGACCTAACCACGTGCCTAGCAGGGCCAGAGCATGCAGCGCACCTACGTGACAAAGGTGCCTAGCATCAGTACTATATACATGGACAAAACAAATACAAAGCCCCAACTCCACCACAATATAATCGGCGTTATTAATATTATTATTATTCGCGAAAGACTAAGATAAAGTGACGGGAATTATTTCTCGAGCTATGCGGCGAGCGCAACGAGTTATTAATCTAATTCTAACGGATTCTTAAGGAAACCGTATCTTAAGAATCGAATGCAATAAAAATCAAGTCGTTGTAAGCAAATTGAAAATTTCGTATTAAATAATTAAGATGACCAAGTTCTTTGTAGTATCATTAACGGGCTAATTACTTATTAATATATTATTAAATTAGATTTTTGTAAAATTAATAATTAGCCCGTTAATAATATTATATCGGACTTTATGTTTTGCTAAATATCAAACTTATTAAATAGATCGTAAAATAAAAGTAAATATATATAAAAGTATTATTATATTAAAAACTATCGAGTTTATAATTTATTATAAGGAGGAGACCCCCTTAAACCTCCTTTTATTACTCATCTTTTCATTTTTATACCGAGGAGACCCCGGACCCCTTTTATTACTT